ATTCAGCATTTTTGAACAACTACACGATTTATAATTCATTCAACAAATTTTAGAAACGACATCGACTTCAAAAATCCATATCTCGTAAAATACAAGTCCAAATTGCACAAGGCCAAAGCCATTGTGACCAGGACATCAAGATATTCCATATTCCAAGAGCTGACCACGAGTTTTGATCAGATCTTAAAAGTTCACTACTAAATCTTATAGATCTAATATAATCCCAGTCAAAGAAATATCATATAATAAAATATGAATTCAATTAATTCAAGAAAAAAGCATATTCAACCATTGAACACATAAACACATAATAATATATAGGAGTTTAGTAAAAATTACCAAAACCAAAGGAGAGTGGCGAACTGGCATGGTCGTGGCTCGATCTGATCCTACGGGCGGGGAAATCGTCCGCTAGGCTCGCTCGGCGTCCAACGGCGGCTCGCTTGTCGAATGAGGAGTCCTTCAATGGTCGAGGAACGGCAGTGGAACGTCGAAGAAGGTGGCAGGTCTCGGTCGTTGCCCGTTGGCGAGTATCGCGCGCGAGGCTCGGCGTTCGTTTGCGCGGCCTGCAGGTGGCGATCGCCAGTGGGGAAGGCGCGCGCACGGGGTTTATCTCCGAGCTTTCTCCGGTGAACTTAGGAGAGAAAAAGAGAGGAGAGGACCTCTGAAAATTTCAAGAAAAAGAGGAGATAGAGATGAGAGAGACGAGAGGGAGAGAAGAGAGTGAATGAGGGGAGTGAAGGGTCTTCCCTTATTTAAGTTAGTAACCTCCCAATTTGAATTTGGTCAAGGGAGAGATAAGGGGAATAGGAGCTGAATTTAGGGGATAGGGTGGTTACAAATTCAAATTCAACAATTCAAACCAACCCATGCATGCAAAAGGGAGTGGCGACGGGCCGCGCGGTGCGGGTGGCACGGGTTGCAGACACGAGGCGTGTGCGCGGGCCGAGGGTGTGAGTGGGCTTCGGGCGGTCCGATACTTAGCGCATGCAATTATATCAAAGTCCTGACTCGGTTCGATGCTCAGTTCAAAATTTAAATTAATTATTCGACTCGATAAGAAAATAAAATCACTTAAACACACACGAGCATATAATCACATAGAAATTAAACAATCGAGCCCAAAATAATTAATCTGAATAAAATCAAATGATTAAATAACTCTAATCATATTCGGAACAAATGTGGCGCTACAATCTACCCACCTTAAAAGGAATCCGACCTCGAAATTCGAAGACAAAAGAAAACTAATGAACTAAAAGAATACAAAGGCCTCCAAAACGAGAAGGTAGGGGCTCTCTCCCTATTCTCGGCCTCCTCACCTCAAGTCATCTCGGACTCGTCATCTCGGCTCCACAGCACCTCCCCAAGGCTCACTGCCCGGTTCCTCGGCCGATAGACACCCTGATCCAAAATGGCCACCGGTACCTCCTCATATGTAAGGTCTCGCTCGACCTGCAGTTCGCTGAAGTCCACCACGTGGTCCGAGTCATGCACATATCTACACAACATCGAGACAGGGAACATAACATGCACCCCGACAGATTTGGTGGTAAAGCTAGCCGATAATCCAAGTCCCCGACTCGAGCAAGGATCTCAAAGAACTAATCACACACGACAGCGGATCCCCGTTTACCCCAAACCAAGGTATACCACACCTCTAGTCATAAGAAAGGGGGAAAATCGAATGGTACCATCCAGATACCCGTTCGATACACAAAAAACACAAAACGACTCACCCAAAGTGAGAAATCACAAAACGCATCACACAACATGCACACACGACCTCAACAGATCTCATAGTGCATCGACCGTGAGATCATCGATCAAACAATCGGGGTCGACACGTGGCGTTGAGTTTCAGCATGGTGCTCGGGTCACCATCAATGCCTATCTATATGCGCTACCCTTGGTTGGTCCCGACTTTGTGCTAGGAGTGCAATGGAGGGTAACCCGGATCACCGAGCAACAGTAGGGTGAGGTGCGCGAGCTACTCGAAGAGTTCCATAGTGTGTTAGGCGAGCCAAAGGGACTGCCACCGCACAGAGAGTTCGACCACCGCATTCCTTTGGTCAACGAGCAGCATGTCATGCACGTTTATTTTTATCGGTACGCACAGTTTTAGAAGACGGAGATCGAGAGGCAGGTAGGCGAGATGCTCGAGTCCGGGCTCATCTAACATAGCTCAAGTCCATTCTCATCACCAGTTCTACTAGCCAAGAAGAAGGAAGACACGTGGAGGTTCTGCACCAACTATCGAGCGCTGAATGCTGCGACTATCAAAGATCGCTTTCCCATTTCAAGCGTTGACGACATGCTCGATGAGTTAGGAGGGTCTGGCTATTTCTCGAGCTTAGGGCTGGTTACCATCAGATCCGACTCCACAAGGCCGACATTCCAAAGACGGGCTTTCGTACGCATTAGGGGCACTATGAGTATTTGGTAATGCCGTTTGGGCTGTGCAATGCCCCGTCCACTTTTCAGTTTGCTATGAACTTCATCTTCTATGAACATCTACGTAAGTTTTTTTTTTGGTATTGTTTGATGATATCTTGGTTTATTCAAAGACATGGGCAGAGCATATCGAGCATTTACGGGTAGTATTCAAAATTTTGGAAGCCAACTCATTCCACATCAAGCCATCCAAGTGCTCGTTTGGACAAGAGATGGTCGAGTATCTAGGCCACTTTATTTCTTATGAGGGCGTGAAGGTCGATCCACGAAATATAGAATCTATGGTCGACTGGCCTATGCCGACGAGTATCACGCAACTACAAGGATTCCTAGGGGTCACAGGAAACTACCGAAAGTTCGTGAAGGATTACGGGACCATTTTCAAGCCTCTAACTGAGATGACCAAGAAGGGTGGATTCAAGTGGTCAGAGGCTTACGAGGAAGCATTCGAGAAGCTGAAACGTGCAATGACTACGACGCCAATGCTCGCAATGCCAAGGTTAAACGTCTTGTTTGAGGTACACACGGACGCAAGCGACGTGGGAATAGGGACCGTGCACGTGCAGGAAAGGCGTTTGCTGGCCTTTCTCAGCATGGCGCTTGGAACAGCACGACTAGGTTTGTCTGTATACCTGAAGGAGATGCTAGCGGTTGTAGAAGCTGTGCGATGTTGGAGGCCCTATCTATTGGAGTGACGCTTTCAGATTGTGACCGACCAGCAGCCGCTCAAGAACCTACTCGAGCAAAGGATCGTGACGTTCGAGCAGCAGAAATTTGTCTCAAAGCTCATGGGTTTCGACTTTGAGATAGTCTATCGGCCAGGCCGACAGAATGTCGTGGCCGACGCACTATCCCGACGGACAGAAGTAGCGGAGCTCGAGGCGATTACCGGGCCAACATGGGTCGTTTGGGAGGAAGTTAGGAAGACGCAGGAGGATGATCCACAATGTAAGGAGCTGCGATAAGGAATCGAGGCAGGCGACACGACCACAGTCGACTACGAGCAACACAAGGTCTTACTACTCCATCGAGGCCGAGTATTTGTACCCAACAGTGGGTAGTTGCGCGAGATGATCATACAACACTTCCACGACACAAAAATTGGAGGATACTCGGGGGTCTACCGCACATGGATGAGAATGGCAAATACCTTCTTCTGGCCAGGGCAACAAGGCATGGTCCGAGATTATGTGGCGCGACGCGAGAAGTGCCAACGCACTAAAGCCGATGCGCGACTACCAAGCGGGCTACTACAGCCACTACCAGTGGCCGAGATGATTTGGGAGGATATTACTATGGACCTCATCGAAGGGATACCAATCTCCAATGGGTTCAATGGTGTTATGGTCGTGGTTGATTGACTCACGAAGTCTGCACACTTCGTTCCCATCACGCATCCTTATACGGCGAAGTTCATCGCCAAGCTATTCGTTGAGTATGTGATGAAGCTGCATAGGGCACTACGATCAATTGTTTCCGTCCGATAATAGATTTTCATGAGCAACTTTTGGTCCGAATTCTTCAAGCTGCAAGGGACCAAGGTGTCGATGAGCTCAGCATATCACCCACGGACGGATGGGCAAACCGAGATAACTAATCAAACCCTTGAACAGTACCTGGGGTGCTATGTGCATCACTTTCTGAAAAAGTGGGAGAATTTTCTACCATGGGGTCAGTATTGGTACAACACGATGTACCATAGTTCGATCAAGATGACGCCATTCGAGCTAGTATGTGTGTAAGCCCCGGACCAAAATTATATTAGTAGCTCGACTTTATTTATCGAAATTAGTATTATTTTAATTATGCAGAGAATTATTAATATTAATTGCATAATATATTTAATTTCAAGTCTAAGCCATGAAGAGAACGTTCGAATTATTATTTAGGAAACGAGATAAAAATCCTAAGTCTATGTCTCGATTAATTATTGTTTATCGAGTATTAGAAAACTCGGGAATTTATTTAATTCTCGAGCGAGCCCAATTATTTTATTTGTCGAGCCCATCTAAGTGGGTTATGTTATTTCGGCCAACCGAGGCCCGATTATTTAAATCGAGCCGTTAGTGTTCGGTCAAAGTTATATTTAATCTAATGAGTCCTAGTTGTATTTTTTTTTAAATAATCGAGCCTAGTAGTGATTATTTTTCGAGCCCAAGTCGAGTAATATTTACAAGCCCAATTGTAAGCTCAAAATACACCTCAAACCCTAGTTTATCACTCATATAAATATGTCAATACTCCACCTTTCTCTTAGCTTTGGATAAGGCGCAGCAAAGCAAAATCCCACAGCTTAACATATGCTTTCCACCTAGCCGATCAATAAAAAAAAAAAAGAAAAATCAAAAGAAAAAAAGAAAGAAACGGAAGAGAAAACTCACCATCGTTCCAGCTCACGCCGGTTCGCACCTCACACCTGTCCGTGAGCCACCGCGACCCTAGCTGCAGCCCCGTCCAAATCCGCAGCTCCACCTCGCGTGTGCCCAGTTTTTTCGGCGAAGCTCGTCCCAGCCACGCGCCGCCGTCTCCTCCCAGCCCCAGCTCAGCTCCGCCGCGTCCGCCACCTCAGCCCGCAACAGTTTCCCCGGCGAGGCCCAGTTTCCGACGAGCGTGCGAACCACTGCTCGTCCTCATCCCCAGATTTCCGGCGAGCCCGCAGCGCCGAGTTCCGCCACTTCAGCCTGAGCTTGCGACCACCTTACCTCAGCAGGCTCGCGACCCCGACGAGCAGACCACCTCAGCTCAAACCCGCAGCCCGTCTCCACCAGCTCCGGCGACGGCAACCAACGCAACCTCGGCCCGAACAGCAGCCCGCAACCAGAACCGAGCCCAGCACCCTTTTTTTCCGAATCCCCAGCTCAGATCTGGTTCAGCGTACCTCAGGTCCGACCCGGACAGCAACCCATAGCCTAGATCCGAGTACACCCGAGCTCAACCGGGTCGTTTCCTTAGCCGATCTATTTTTCCGACTTCCGATTTGACCCTTTCGAGAGGTATATCGGCTTAAACATTTCTCCATGAGCTTAATCGAGAATTTAGATGAATTTTAAAATTTACGGGAAGCGATTTCGAGCATTATAGAATTTACGGTGAATTTATCGGCTTAAATGACATTAAATTCCGTAAATATTGGTTGCTGCCCGGAAAAATGTGAAACTAGCATGATAAAATTCGTATAGCTGACTTGAGGCCAAGGTTTTAATTTCGTAAATTTTGGTGCTCGTTTAGTATGTTAACTGGATTTTTGAATATGTAGCTGAAATGCCCGATTTTTGATAAATATGATAAGACCTCGGAATTCGATGAAACTTTCACAAAAAATCCTATAAATGCTGAATATGTCGTGGTTAAAATTTCATAATTTTTAGAGGTTGTTTGATATGCCTACAAATTCGAGACTTTAGCTGCTTTGGTGAAAACCCTAGAATTTATCCGGTTGAGACTTGGCTAAAATCACTAGAAATCGAGTTGAACTTAAAGTATGAGTTTTTGACTTGAATCGAGATAAATAGCCGGTTAAGTACAGAAACCTAGTCTGGCCTTTTTCGGTCAGTCCGGATGAACTCTAGATCCGGATAGAAAGTTGTGCGTCGACTGATGTCGTGTCCGTGCGTATGCACCCGGACCACGATTAAGTCGAGCTGCACCCAGTCAGATAAATAAGATCAGATCAGATCAGATCAGTCAGATAAGTTAGATCAGACAAGCAGTCCAGACTTAGAAATATTTCAGAGAACCCTAGAATGCCTCAAAGTCAGCAAATCTTTCAGAACAGCTCAAAGCATCTAAATCCAGATTAAATGATATTTTAATCGAGCGAGAGAACCGAGTAAGATTTATTAATAATAAGAATCAAGTTTTTATTTGAGCTTAGTACTTAGTACATTTTGCTCGAATATTTATGTAGCTTAAGGAGAGTCGAGCCTCCGACAGCTACCAGTGAGTCAGCACTTGCCTAGCAGTAGCAGTTATCAGGTGGGGGTCACGTACTGGTTATACTTCATCTTTAATTTCCGTACCATGTCCGAGGTATGTATGAGAAATAGTTAGATCATCATGAGGGAGGCCGTGGCGGGCCTTAATGTTCCCCCGTGATTCGGAGGGAGACCTTAATTGGCCTTAATGATCCCCCGGAGTGTGCACATGATTGGCTTTTAAGCCCCAGGGTCTTTATGACCACCAGATGCCCCAGTTACAGTTTCAGTTCAGATCAGTTCTTATATACTTAAAGTCATGATATTGTTATTAACGATGTTGCATAATTAAGTACTGGTCTTTGCGGAGCATAGCGGTTTTGCTCACGCCCCCACTACGTTTTTCAGGTGACGGAGCGGCGCGTGGCGCGTGAGATTTCAGTGGTGGTCATGGTCATTAGCTGTCTTTTTGTAACGCATCTGCATGTCATTTATTGAACATGTACTATTATTACTATGCGTAGACATATTATGATTCAGCTTCCGCACATTTCAGACTTAGTATGTATTATGAGATTTTCAGACTTATGCATGTATAATGCCTTTATCTCCGTGGTACCTTTATATAACGGATTTGATTAGGTTGCATGTATTTATTTACGTCTGCATGAGAAAGAGTTTAAGTTAGTAGCATCCCGCAAGTTAGTATGAGTATTTTCGAAAATAAAGTTTAAGAGTTTTTCGAAAATAAAAAGCAAAAATTTTACTCTGATTTTATAAATTCTAGAAATAATTAGGCGGGGTGTTACAGTTGGTATCAGAGCCACGTTGTTGTTCTGTATACTTAAAAAGTTTAGAAAAGCATGACCACGCCACGCTCACGCCGCGCCGACTCCGAGGTAAGTCACCTAAGTTTTAAATTTCTGCAAGTGCATGAGAATATAGTATGAGATCTTAGGGGCCTAGCATCTATCCTTCAAATAGAAAGAGAACTCTAGACAGAATTTTAGAAAAGTTTAGCTAAGTCCAACTCTAGACTATCTCAGAACTCTAGCAAAATATTAGAAGAGTTAAGTATAAACCGGAACTCTAGCCAAGCTAGGTGTTTTCGGAAATTTGTTAAAAATTCGCTAAGTAGAGTATAGCTATTTTTTAATCGGCTATACGGTGTTAGTTCAATAGTTAGTGGCTATCTAGAAAGCCACCACGCAGAACTCTGAACCCACCCGCAGAGCGGGAACATGCCGTAGTTGTAGGCCAATTTCCGAGATTGGTGGAACGACTACTGGCGTTTGGGGAAGGAAGAACACTATGAGATGACATGAGAGTGGGCTCACGTAGATTCTGGAAGTCAAATTTTACCACGCCATTTTTGCGAGAGAATGGAACGAGAGTTATATGCCCTTCAGCAAGGGGCCCGCTCGGTAGAGGAGTACGAGCGCGACTGCACTCATAAAAGCGCGTTTGCTCGTCACCTCATCGATACCGAGAAGAAGAAAGCAACCGGTTTTCGGAAAAACCTGAGGAGCGATATTCAGATTCTAGTGGCCAAACATGGCTACGAAAAGCAAGTAGTAGCTATAGATCAACATTTTTGAAGGTTAGATAACAGACATTACGGACAAGCGTGATTGTTGTACGTAAAGTTATAACGGGGATCGTGCGACGAGTCACATTGATAATAAATGAAGAGATAGAGAGAGAGAGAGAGAGAGAGAGAGAGAAACCGCTCGAGATTTTTTAACGAATTAGTGTTGGAAATGTTAAAAGAAGAATAAGTCGATATTAGTACATAAGTAAGACAGTGGACTTTTCATTGTCGGAACTATGTACGCTTGAGTAAAGTTCTAACTCTAGAGATTGCCTCACTTAAAACTGGCAAGATGCCTTCAAGCAAGTATAAGAAGCGAGGGTTTCAGTGTATAAGAGTCGTAGGTCCGGGTAAGTCCTGGAGGCTTGAAATAAAAGCCATAAGTCCGGGAAGAACCATGGAGGCTTGAAGCTGAACCATAGTAGACATGTTCCCGTATGAGGTAATCTCTAGTAGTCAAAGAAGGAGAAGATCAAGTTTAACAGAACAAGAGCAAGGATCGCATGTTAAATCACAATTTGACACCACGATGACTTACTCGTCGTCTCGAAAAAGAAGCCATCACCCACGGAAGATTCCAGTAGTATATAAATGCACAAACAACAGTTCGTAGCAGCCACCAGTAGATCCAACAAAAGCCAAGTGGGAGATCGCAACAACCATAATTCAAGAAGAAGAACCAACCCCGCACAGGGGAAAGTTGAAGACAGTCTGTTTAGGAAGACGAAGACCTATAAATTACGCGTTCATATACTGACAGAGAAATTTTTAAAAGTCGTGATTAGAGAACATGTCACTATCAGCGCTCAGAGAGTTAACCGTTGTTCGCAATCGTGTGACATATTTTCATAAATATTATGAGGAAGACCACTTGACCGAAAGGTGGAAGTCAATTGACCAAGTGCCAGAATAGGACCAGTGTTAGCAGAGCCAAACGCATGAGACGTCAGGAAGCTATGAGAGCTGAAGACTCAAATCCGAATTGGGAATTATTGGGCCAAGCACGTCACTTTATAGTGCGTCCGACGGTTCATAAAGAAAGGAAGATGTGCACCCATTACCGAAAGCTAAGTAGACTCAAGGAGGAGAGTAAGTATTCACCTTCGAGAGCCGAAAAATTGTTGACCCCATGAGAGAAAACCGCAAGTTCCAACATTTACTTGAAGCTCGGACATCCTCCACCAGAAGTCGAGGGACCCGATGCCTTAAGATCAGAAAGCACGTGAAAGTTGCGGTGATGAAATCATCTCTAAGTATTGGTGTTGTTTCGACATCACTAGTTTAGAATTAGGCTTTGAGAAAGAAATTATGAAGAAATAGATAAGTAGTAAGCGTAAAGATAACTTGAGAGAGTTGTCTAGCGAGCAAAGTAGAAGGATCCTAAACAACAGAGAACAGTTTTCCAGTATTAAGCTGAGACATAATGTAAAGAAGAGCAACCGTGGTAAAAGAAATAGAGAACAGAGAAGCCTTAATAGTAAGATTTTAGTACCCTTGGGTAAAGTTTACCCATTTAAGCTTTGAGACACTCAAATTGTACTAAGAAGCAGATAGATCCGAGCACAATGCGTGCATTAGCACGTATCCAGAGCCCATACTGATGTTCCACACACTTGTCCCACTTTCGCCCCTATCATTGGGGCAAAGCCACCGAGTGCGTGCCCGTGCACCGAGTCCGATCGAGCCGCGCCCCTGCGCTCTGCCCAACGCCCATGCGTCCGTCAATCCTACCAGTCAACGCACCGATTCCGTTAGCCGTGGCCCAAGCATGCCCCTGCGTCAGCGGCCGTGGCACCATTCAAAGTTGTACGTCGCAGTACAATAAGGCTACTAACGTAAGACTTGGACGCGACCTTGTTGTGATTGCAGGCGACTCTGACCCTGCAAGTACATCGCACGCAGGTACCGCATGCAGGTATTCCGCGCCCGTGGGCCCCGGGTAGTGGGTAAACCGCATGTGGCATACCGCACGCAATGTGCCGCCTCGTCAGGAGCCGAGTCACGATGAGCCGAACCACAATTGTTAGCTGTCCTCATCAGTTTTACAGATCGATGTATAATTAAGAAAGAGGATCAGAACGCTTAAAGGCTTGCGTTCTGAATGACAGACTCGTATAGAAGTACAATTTGCCACTAAAGCAATTAATAGAAGAATAGAATAGACATGACATCGTACGTTTTAGTACGGACATGAGTGTGGATCGCTGACATACGAGAAAGAGATAGCGAGAGAATGTTTTTCGGTCAATAGC